AGCTTTTAGGAACTGGTAACTAGCTGGTTCTCTTAGTTCTGCGCCTGCTGTGGCGTTTTTAGCCTTTTATACTTTTTATCCTTTATTAAGGCGTGCAAGAATTTCTCTTACGCTTTACTTATACGTAGCTATAACCCTGTTAACCTATACCTCTATATCTAGGAACTTAGTTTTACTATTATTTTATAGCTCGGGTATATTAGTTTAGGGTTCTAATCGCGGTTTAATTATCTAGAACGCCTTATCCGTCTCTAACAGGTAGTTAATTTCTATACTTTTAACTTCTACGTCCGCGTAGTAGTTATCTATAGGATTACTATTATACTCTTTATTCCTTATTATAGCAATAGTATATCTCCCTTTCCTCTAGGTTAAATAGTACCCTATTACCTACTTATCTAACTAATAGGTAAAGTAGTTATTATTATAGCACGCGGTCTATAATATAGAGTTGTAGCGGTCTATACTTAGCTTTATTATAACTACTACTATTTAGGTGTTCTTAGAGCACTTATTCGCGAAGTATTCTTATTCTCCGCATAATAGGCATGCGCTGCTGCGCTTTCTATCTTACCTTTCTTTATTAGTAATTAGTTTACCCCTTTAGTAGTTATGTTGTTTTATAATATTAATCTCTATACAATCTTTATAGTCGCAATTAGTTACTCTTAGCTTTAGTCTAGCTAGCTAGGCGTAGGAATAAAGTCCCTTTTTATCTGCTTGTTCTAGTTATTACTTATACTATTAACTGTTAATCTATATAGCTATTTCTTTAAGTTTATAAAGTATTAAAGGCCTTTTACCTTATATAATTTTATTCTTAATATTTTCTTTAAAACCTTTATAGTATTATACTTACAGAGCTTTATCTCCCTATAATAGCTTAAACGCGATTTATATAAATTCTAAAGTATAGCGGCTAGTTAAGCCCTTTTGCTTTAGAACTGCAATTTTTTACTCTACTATCTATTTTTTATTAGTATTTCTAAAGGTTATCTAAAGTACCGCTTTAAAGTTTTTATAGTTGCTAAATATAATATTAGTTTCTAGTTTCCGCTTATCTGTATTAGTATTACTAAGCTAGTCTATAAGTATTAGGTTAAACTAGTTAAACGCTTTTTTTTTTAAAAAGGTTGCTGCTATACAGACCTTATTAGATTTAAATTTAAGGTTGTTCTAGTTTATACGCAGGTATAGCCTTATCTGCGTTATAAATACTTATAAGGTTTCTCTATTACTAGTAGACTCTTCGGCTTTATTTATCTTATAGCCTTTATAGCTAGTTATTCTACTAGTAGTAAGCTTTTTTTTAAATAACCTAGAGATTTCCCTATAGGGCCGCAATTTTTTTATTCTTAGTATTGCTAGCTTCTTCTAGTACTTATAGCCGTGTAAGCAATACCTGTATATATATTACTATTTTAGGTATAGTTAGAGTTAGTCTAGTAGTTATACTGCCTAAAAGGGTTAGTAGGGCTATTTTAATTAATTATTTATATATAACTTCTTTAATATAGCAGTATTTAAAGTATAATAGGTTATCTTTTCTATACCTTCTAAGTGTTATATACTAAGGCAGGGTATAGGTTAAGTTATTATCGGGGTGCAATAGTTTTTAAAAGGTAAGGCAAGATTAATCTTAGGTATAAAACGGGGTTATTACTTCTAATAGGTAGTATTAAAGTTTTAAGTTAAATATACTATTCCTATCTACGCAAAGGAGCGTCCTTATATATAAAAGCTCCGTTCTAAGAAATTTATAGCTTGTTCCTGCTTATTTAATCCTTAATAAGCACGCTTACTATTACTTATTCGATTCCTAACAAGCACGCTTACTATTGCTCGTTCGATTCCTAATAAGTACCTATATAACCTTTTATTTCGTAATATCCTGTTCCTAGATTATTCCTATCTACTAGCAGTTTATAGGGGAATCTAGGATTTCTATACGTTCTATATATAACCCTTATAGTCCCGTAACTTAGTTCTATATAATTAGTTTTATCTATTTACTTATTTCTATAAGTGCCTTTATACTCGGGTGGTTTATATTACAGGTTGTAATATAGTAGTAAAAAGGGTTTTTTTTTTTATATATACGTTAGTTATATAAAAAACCTTAAAGTAGTTATATTTATAAAAGCCGGTATAAAGGGTGTAAAAAATAGGCGTTTTATTAGAGTAGAAAAGCGTAAAGTCGGCTTTATAGATAAAACGTGGTTTTAGAAGGGTTTTAGAAAAGTTAGAGCTAGAGGCCGAAGTAGATAAGTATATAGGGTTAATGCTTTAGAATTAGCTAGTAAAAGTAATTATTAGTTTAGTTCTTTAAGTTATAATAGGAGTAAATAGTATATATACTTTATATAAAAAAGTCCTTTATATTAGAAAGGCTAAGTACAAGTTTAAGTAGTGGCCGAATAACCTCTATACACTACGCATTTTTATCCTGCCTATTTTCCGTGCAGTGCCTTGCGTATAATAAGATGTTTTTTATAGCCTTTAATATATTTTAGCTAACTACTAGGTTGTTATTATTAGGGTTCTATATATATTTACTAATTTATTAAAGGCCGAGCTCCGGGTTAGTTATAATAAACTTTTTTAGCAACGCAAGCACCTATTACTCTATATTATCTAGCTCTAGCTTATCTATAATATTCTAAACCCTCTAAAGTATAGAATTCTTTACTCTATTTAAGGGCTCTATTTATATTAGCAGGTTAGTAAATTATAGGTTTACTTATATCTCCCGTAAGGAACTTAATAACTATTAGGTCTTGCTTACTTAACTAGCAGGCAGTATAAATATACTGTGCTTTTTAAGTATTAAAGGGTGCAATACTACTAAAATACTCTGCTTAGGAAGTATTTTATTATTAATTTAGGCGCGCTTTAGGCTGTAACTATATTCTATAAATATAGCAACAGCTGTTATAGGTATAGGCGAATAGCTTAAAGAAGGAAGGTGCGTAGAAAACAGTTCTAAAGCAGCGCGCTTTTGCTTTTATAACTTTTAGGTACCGAAATTAGGGCTAGGTATAAGCTAAGCAAGCTAGAATAAAAGGTAGGTCTTTTTTTTAATAGTAAGTAATAGGGAGAAAGGTAGAAAGGCGGCTATTAATAAGTATATTAAGGATATATACTAGAGGCATATTATTATAAGTACTAGGGGTATTATAGCGGAGCTCCGGCCTGTATTTATTAACTCTATATACGTAGTAGGCCCGGTATTATACTATAGGCAGCTATACTTTATAAAGCTTAATATAATACGAATATATTACGCAGCTACTATACTTAACCCTGCCGGCAAGCTATTCTATATAGGGGCCTAGAAGGACCGTCCCGCTATATATAACTAGTTACTAGCTATAGAATATATATAAAAGTAAGCAGAAGAAAACGCCAGTAATAAAGACTAAAACGGCGTTAGCAGCAGTGTTTATATAAGGAATATCTGCTGTTCTACTCTGCCTTATAGGAGAAAGTATATTATTAATAAGCTAGAAGCCTACTAGAAGTCTCTATATATAAGCAGTAACTACCCTTTTTATAGCCGGCCTAAGTAGTAGCTGCTATATTAAACTAAGTAGCTTAGTAAGTTAGTGCTATAGTATATATATTTCTAGAAGCGGTATAGCTTTAAGCCTATCTATAGGTCCGGCGTAAATCTACAGGTTTATATTACTAATAGCTTTTTTTATAGAAGTAAATTAGCCGAGTTCCTTACCTTTAAGTCCTTATTATAAGGCCTTCTCTGCGCAGCTAGCAACTTACTAATAGCTCCGCGCCTAAAATCTATATAGGAAGTATTATATTTAATTTTAGAGGCCTCCGGCTATAAAACTGCATACTTAAGAAAGCGTTATAGAAAAAAGAACTTAGAGTAGCAGGCTAGAAACTATATAGGCAGACTATACAGGCTAGAAGCTATATAATATATAATAGAGGACGCTGGCTATAATATAAAATTAGTGCAAGTTTAGAAAAATATTAGAAACTATAGTAAACGCGTTTTTTAGGTAGTTCTAAGTTTCTATATAGTTATGCGAGCTTGCTATACTAGGCTAATACTAATCTAGGGTTTTTTTTATAGAGTCCGCTTTTATAATACTTTAGAACTTTTAGTTCTTTTATAAGCTGCTTCCTTGCTAAAATAAGCAGTTTTATAATTTTTATAACAATTAAATTTATAGTTATAGTATATAAGCTATAAGTAGATTTACTAGAATTTAGTGCTGATTTTTATATAGCTAATAAAGCTAGTTAACAGCGCGCAAGCCGGAACCTTTCTGCTATACTAAGGATTACAACTTTATTAATTATATACGCATTTTAGCTTAGAACTTTTTATAACTAGTATAAATAGTATCCGAAGGCCTCCTCTTTATATATACAGCCTGAAAAGTATATTAATTATAATTCTAGACACCTCTTAGCATTTAAATACGTAAGCAAGTAATAAATAAGCAATCTATCCGAAAAAGGCCAACAACTTAACTTAACTCGAGCCTTAATTTCAGTTAATTAATTAAGCTAGAGGGCTATAAATTAAGTTGCTTTTTTGCTAGTAACTCTGTCTTCTATAGAACCGCAATAGAATAGCTTATAAAAGTAATAAGCTATTGCCTTTAACTCCTGTATATAGGTACTTAAGGGCCTTCTATAGTTATTCTAACTTTATTCTAGGATATTTTCTCTTAAGAATATTATAATAATCCTAATTTAGTTAGTAAATATTATATTCCTACTATACCGACAAATATACCTGCGTATTTTGTTAAAACTCTACTATATTTTTCTCCCTACTAAACTTCTTAAGCCTTTTTTAAGCTCCTACTTCCCTTTAAATACGCAAAACTAAACCCCTTAGTTAATTCTGCTATAACTCTATAAACCCCCTTAGGCTACTCTACTTTTCTACCCTTTTCTAGCTTCTTCCGCTAATATACTATATACGCCTCCTATACCCCCCTTTCTAGCAGCCTAAAATAATACTTCTAATTAAACCAACTTAGCCTTTTTATAATCGCCGGATCTAATTTATTAAAATAATTTATACTCCTAATTATAAAAATCCTATTATTTAACTCTAACCTATTAACTTTATTTAAAAAGTAGCTCCTTATTTTATTCTGTACTAAACTATCTAAATCCTTAAAAATAAGTAAATATAGCGCCAACGCCTGCGCCTGTATAAAGATGCTATAAATACTAACCTGCGGCCCCTTATAATTCTTAAAACTCTTAATATATAGACTTAGCACTAGGTCGGGCCGCTTATATAGCGCATTTATAAGCGCCTTAATAGAGATTATCTTCCTATTCCCTAGCATACTATAGAAAATAATACTACGCTTCTACAGCACTGTAAATTCCTGGTAAAGGGCCTGCATATTAAAGAAACCTTATACGTTATTAATAAGACTTACTTTTATTACGTTGTTAAGGATTACTTTATTCTATAAGGCGCTGTATACTGCTGCCTATAGCTTATAGTTCTTAGCTTAGTAGCTATTATTAAAAATATAGATCTTTTTATAGAGTTAGGAGGTCTATTTACCGGCTACTGGAAGTAGCGTATTAGTAAACTTATAATACCTATTTATAACTTTAACGCCTAAGCGTAGTAATAGTATATAAAGTATTTATATTATAGTATATAGTAGCTTAGTCTACTTAATATTATAGACTAGGAACTTATAATTCTTTTAGGTATAAAGGTATTACCTAAACTTTATATAATCCCTTAGTTTCCTAAGGTATTTCTTTTTTTCTATACCTTTACCTACAGGCTTCTAGGTATAGGTGGCGTTAAAAATATTACTCTTTAGATTTAGTATAGCTAATACTTTGCCTGTAGACACGAAGTTAAGAAGATTATAAACGCGTAGCTTAGTAGTAGTTATATAGTAGCTTAGGTGCGTTTTATAGAAGAACTTAAGAACTGTAAAGTTAGTTATTATATAGTAGCTATTAGTATATTCTTTAAATATAATAAAGGCCGTATTATAGAAGTCTATAGTTTGCAGAAGAAGTTTTTTAGTAGTGCTTATAGCCTCTAGAGGGTAGGTTTAGGGGGATAGAAAGGATAGAGCCCGGAGGGAGCTAAATAATATAATTTTATATTGTTAAAATATAAAAGAAACAACTAAACTTTAAAGAAACACGTTTTTATATCGACAAATATAAATAACTAATAGTTAAGCTAAAAAAGGTATATTTAAGGGGAATTACTATACGTAATACCGCTATTAAGATCTATATAATAGCACGGAATAGGCCTTACTATAATCTAATATAGAAGTTGCAACTTATAGGTTAAACTAACCCTAATAATTATAAACCGCGCCTTAATATATATATATGCAATATACTGTATCTAGTAATAGGTAATAGGTAAATAACTTAAAGTAACTATAAACCCTATCTCATTAAATATATGCACCGTATTAACTTCTAATAGTAGGCGCTTCCTAATATATCTTTTATATAGACCGATTATCTTAAAGAGCCTATTATTATAATAGTCCCGCAATAGTAAAGTAGTTAAATTTCTAAGTTAGGAGCTAATAGCTTTACAGGTTATCCGCCTACTACTACTAGTAAATAAATTAATATATATATTAACTATCTTCTAATAATAGAAGCTCCTAACGTGTCTATAGCGTGGGCTAGGCTCTGCGCGTTTATACATGCACTGCGTGCCACGGTCTAGCGATAGGAATAGGGGGATAATATATAGTAACTATAGTTCCTATTTTACTATATATATATACGCTATAACACTCTATAAGGTACTATATAGACTAATTCCGCATATATATTTATATTTCTAAGGATCTGTTATTATAATATCCTTTACTACTGCTAGCCGCTTAGCTTCTAAAGGCAGTACTATATTAAGAATTGCCTTCCGTTCGGCCGGCCCTGTTTATCTTCAATTTCTTTGCTAAGGCGCTACTAGTTGCTCTATACGCTCCTTTTCTAGCAGCATATTATATTATCTAGACAACTTTATATCTATAGAATTAAAAGGGCCGGATATAGAATAAGCCGATAGGTAAGGGAGCGCTTTTAGAGGTTAGACGACTATAATATAGAATATACTAATAGGAATAGCTTAAGAATTAAATTAAATGCAGGCGAGAATGCCTCTATATAAGCTAAAATAACTTAACCTCCCCTCTACGTATCTAAATACTATAACCCTCTAGTTCTATAGTATAGTAGCTTAGGATTAAGGATAAATTCTAAGTCTAATTTAGAATTTATTTGTTCCTATCTTAATATTATAATATATAAACCGAAAATCCCTATAATATTTAAGAACAGGTATACTATTTAGAGTTGCAGATACTTTAACTATTTCACCTCGCTTGTCTATAAGGCGCCTTACCTTCTTAAGAATAATTTTACTATATCTCTGCCTTTAGTATTAGCTATAAACCGCGAACGTTTAAAGCTTAATACTATATTCTTAGAATCTCCTAGTCTCTTTAGTAGGTATTTACAATTTTCGGGCTAATTTCTTACTTTTTTTTTAGCTCCTCTATTTAGTTAAGATATAATATTTCTATATTTAAGTTTTTATCTCTTAATTCGCGTAGCTGGGCCAGGGATTATAAAAAAGCTGTTAATTAGTATATATATTACTTAAATATACTCCTTTTATTTATTACTCTACTAGAGAGCTTATAGGGCGTTAGAATACCTACGCTAATAACGTAAGTCTAAATATCCCTTAGTCTATTATATACAACGCCCGTTTCCTACTTATTTATATTAACTTCTGCCTTTATTATAAGTATTATACTATTATTTATAAATATAGTAACGTATTCCATAAGCGAGCCGTCCACCTAAGCGAGCCGTCCACTTTATTATAAAAACCTGCCTTAAACGTTAATTGCTCCACAACGCTAATAGATATCAACTATATACAACTTGTAGCCTAATCTGCAGCAACCTCTGCATCGTTTTTACACGTACGAATATTGTGCCCTAACTCGCCGCAGCGCCCACAGCGCCGCACGATTCTATTAGAGCCTGCTCCACCTTGCTGCTTTTTACTTTAAGCGTCCTTCTTAAGCCGTTAAGCAGCTATTTAAAAGCCTGCTTCTATTATTAGAGTTCCTTCCCTCTAAATGCGCTTTTTTTTGCGCGCCTTGCGCTTTATAGCGGCTTTATTTGCCTTTTAAAGGCTGGTAACAGTATTACGCAGCAGCGCAGCTTAATATATTATGCTTTTAGCACCTTTAGAAAGGCTATTAAGCGAGTTAAAAATAGCTGTAGGCGAGCTATTTTAATGCATTTAAATGCGCTTATAAATTAAAGCTAATTAAGAGCCTAGCTTAAGAGCGTTGCTTAGTGTTTTTAATTCCTATAAAGCCTCCACGGCGGCAGGCGGAGGTAATAGCGTACAGAGCCTAATATTAAGCTTTAATAGCACTGCTTCTAGATTAAGTAGTATAAGGCCTGCGCCTTAAAAGCCTGCGCAAATATTGCTTTTTACGATTAAGCTGTAGAAAGCTGCTTTAAATACTAGCAGGAACTCTAGCTTAGTAATATAGTTAATATAGTGGCGCACTAAGTCCTTAATTTAGCGCCTATACGCCTTTTTTATTAGCGCAAAGCAGCTAATATTAAGCGGCTGTAGCAGGTGCGATAAATACGCTGGCATATAGAAAGTAATAATATTATTCTCCTTATAAATCTATTGGAATTTAAGCAAGATATAGCTCTCGTGGCCATTAATAATTAGCAGCCGGTGCGTGCCTATCGTGCGATCTTTTGTATGCATATTAAAATAGTGTAGCCAGGTAATACTAAGCTTATTTATTGTCCAGCTATTATCGCTTACTGCTATAACCTAATCTAGTGGTATATTGTTGCCCTTATACTATATAGAAAGGTGGTATATACCTATAAAGATAATAAATAGTGGAATAGCCTATCTATAGGCATTAATACCTTAGATTATTATTATCTATTCGCAATTGCCTGGCTGTATAGATTTTGGATAATTACGGCGCTTAGAGCCTGTTATAACTACGCCCGTTGAAATAACACCTATTTAGAAGCCGGCTTTATTAAAGTTATATATATCTTTATCCAGGATGCTATACTTTGCTTTTATATTGCGCACAAGCTTAAACCAATTGCTAATAGCTTTTAGATCCTCGCATAGAGCTCTTTAACGGTTGTACTTTCGATTAAATTATGTTTTAAGCTTAGGTGTTCGCTTAACAAAGTTCTCTGGCCAGTTCTTGCCAACTTGGCCGGCGGCGCGCTTAGCAAGCAATTTGTTGGCCATCTCTCGTACAGCATACAAGCTAGGCGGAAATCCTCGCAAATCCAGGTCGAGTATATGTTGAGTGATAACTGATTCCTCTAGCTTTGAAAGCTTCTTCGAATTAGGCTTAGAATTGCGTCGTGGGGTTGTTCCAGCGCGTCGATCTCGAAGTGTGCTTCTGGGGACGTCATATATTGTAATAGCGCGCCGTTCGCTTGTAAATTGCTGCCGATTGATTGCTGCGATAGCCATGCATATTCGACCTTCATTTTGTATTGATTGCACGTTGTGTTGTCGACGCATGGTGGTTGGAAGTTAACGCGTCGCGTTTTCGTGATGAAGTGGACGGCTCGCTTGGGTGGACGGCTCGCTTATGGAATACGTTATATATTTAGTATATAAAGTCGGCTTTTATATCTTCCTAGTATTTATAATAGAATAGCTTCTATATAATAAATACTAGCAACGTCCGAAGCCTAATTATTATTATATAGGAAATATTATTATAGTTATCTACTATAGCTTCCTAAACTATAAGCTAGCCTATAAAGGCTTTACTTATAGTAGGCTTAGTTTATTCTACTAGGGGCAATATAATAGCAGACTATACTAAAAGTTAGTAATATTTTATATTACCGGAATACTTATACTATAATTTTATTAGTTAAATAGATTTAAGTATATATAGTCTAAATAACTAAAGGTTAGTTTAGAGTATTCTTTTAGGTACCGCTCTAAGAAATAGGCGGGATCCGGGTAGGAAATCCTTAAGAACAGATATCTATAGCGTTATTAATAGTTTTAGAGATAGTATATATATATATAGCTTATAAGCGGATTAATAAAAGTTTTTTATTGTCCTATAAACGCACGCCAGCCCCTGCCCGGATTTTCTACGGGTTATATCCTTAGTATAGGGGTATCTGCTATATCTTATATAGATATATTATTTTATTATTAAATTCTATTACGCTGGTGTAGCTCCCGTTAGGGTCCATGCAGCTGTTCTATCTAGGCTAGTTTACAAGGAGAAACCG